GGGGAACATGTCCCAACAAAGGGAAATAAAAAGGAGACAAAAGATTTCACTGAGTTTAACAGTGGCAGAGGGAAAACTGAAAAGGGGGAACATGTCCCAACAAAGGGAAATAAAAAGGAGACAAAAGATTTCACTGAGTTTAACAGTGGCAGAGGGAAAACTGAAAAGGGGGGACATATCCCAACAAAGGGAAATAAAAAGGAGACAAAAGATTTCACTGAGTTTAACAGTGGCAGAGGGAAAACTGAAAAGGGGGAACATGTCCCAACAAAGGGAAATAAAAAGGAGACAAAAGATTACACTGAGTTTGACAGTGGCAGAGGGAAAACTGAAAAGGGGGAACATGTCCCAACAAAGGGAAATAAAAAGGAGACAAAAGATTACACTGAGTTTAACAGTGGCAGAGGGAAAACTGAAAAGGGGGAACATGTCCCAACAAAGGGAAATAAAAAGCGAACCGAGATACACTTTTGATTCTTCTCTTCCAAATTCGGTCCCTCGATCGCTTTTCCAACAAGCGCTTTAAAAATTCTGTTTCCAGTGTCCGCTTGGGTTTTCTGAGTGGCCATGAGATGGTTTCTGAGTGTCTTCTATACAAAAATATATATATTTGAGCAGCTGCTTCTTTCTTTAAACAAAAAATACAGGCAAATACCCACTGTGCCAACCGAAAGGCCGAGCTGAATCCAATCCGTAATTTTCATTTGACTCGACTCTTGTCATTCTCCGACTCTTGTCTTGTTGGGACAACTGACAGGAAGCTCGGCCAACCCAGGAAAAAAGAAAACGTCTAGTTCCTTCCACAGGAACCATCTAATCTTCAACCCAAAGCGCCCTGGCACTGATTCGTCCCGAGCGTACAAAACAAAAGGAGTTTGCAATCCGTACAATTGGTCACGCTTTGTAGTTGTGCATCGGCGTGGCCAACGTTAACTGCCCGTTGGGCGCCACCTCGTTGGCGTCGTCTTCTAGCAAGCCGGAGATGTCCGCGTTGGGGATGCTGTCGTGATAGCTGCTGAAGCTGATGTTGTCCTCCTTCAGTTCGATGGTCCAGAAAGGAGCGTTCAGCTTCCGGTTCTGGTATTCGCGGTACGTGTAGACGGCGCCGACAAAACCCATCAGCAGGACCACCAGGATGATGATCACGGTTAGGATGATGATGTTGAACTGGGCCCAAGAGACGTCGGCCAATGTCGACGTGCCGTTCTCCGAAGAGGGACTCGGGAAGGCCGGCTGTACCGTCGGCCGCACCGATGTGGTGTTGAAGGCTGCTGTAGGCAGGATGGTGGACGCATTGAAGTTTGGGACTGTAGGGATGAGCCTCGGGGCTGGAGTATATTCTACATTTTAAAAAAAATAGGACAAAGTGAAGGTTATTTTTTTAAAAAAATATTTTTATTCAACAGTTTTTTTCCATTTTTTAAAAAACATAAATATCATCTTTGCAACATTTCTACATTGTTAGATATCCATTATACTCCTTTTATCCGTACATATATACCTTTATGTATCTATATCTATGTCTATGTCTATATCTATATCTATATCTATATCTATATCTATATCTATATCTATATCTATATCTATATCTATCTCTATCTCTATCTCTCTATCTCTATATCTCTATCTCTATCTATCTCTATCTATCTCTATCTGTATCTCTATGTCTATCTATCTATCTATCTATCTATCTATCTATCTATCTATCTATCTATCTATCTATCTATCTCTATCTCTACCTATCTCTATCTCTATCTATCTCTATCTCTATCTCTACCTATCTCTATCTCTATCTTTCTCTATCTCTATTTCTCTATCTCTATCTATCTATCTATCTATCTATCTATCTATCTATCTATCTATCTATCTATCTATCTATCTCTATCTCTACC